CCCCCCCCTCCCCAACCCGCGTCCCGCGTGTCCCTTCTGAATGAGCCTTTCCCCGCTCCCCAGTGGATCCGCCCCCGTCCTAACATGCATTTGGCCGCAGCCGAGATGAGCGGTACCCCCAGGTGCCCGGGGAGCTGGTGGTGCACATTAATAGCCTGGCCATGGACTCTCGCTGTCCCGAGAGCATGGCTCTCCTGGCGGCCGTTGGGGGGCGTGATGAGCTCCACCACCAATATCCATGTCTCGGGCCGGACGCCTGGCAGGGCGAGCCGGTGGTCACCTTCTCGCCGCAACTGCCTGCCCTGTGCGTGGTCTTCCGGCTTGGTGCGGTCCATTTGCCGCCTGCCTGACACATTGCTCTTCCCGCTGCCTTCCCCTCCCCCATCCTCCCCCCTCCCCCTGTCGAGCAGGAAAACCCTCCATGTGCTGGGACCAACCTATGACGCACGGTTCCATTATGCCTTTGAGTATGCCTTGCACTATTGCTACCTACGTTGCTTGGTTGCCGGCGTGGAGGCCGGCGCGCGGTCCATTGTGCTCCCGATTTCGCACTATGTCGAGACGGAGTTCCGGCAGTCGGACGCTGCTCATATTGTCCTGCGTGCGTTCCGGTCCCCTGTGCATGGGCATCACCCGACGGGCGGCCTCTCACCCGAAACATCACCCTCGGCCATTGCTCGCCCCCCTCGGGGCTGGCCGCTCAACTGGATGACACATGTGTGCCGGAGATAGGCACCATCCGGCGCTTTCTCGAGCGTCACGGCGACCTCCTGGACACTATCACCCTGTGCATCAGTGATCCGCTGGATGCCTTTTACTACACGCATCTGGCATCGGTGTACTTCCCTCGGGATCCGGATGAGGAGCTCTTCTCCCAGGCCCTCTGCCCGGAGGACGTCGGCCGGCTGGAGTCCGGCGAGCCCATCCGGCCGGAGCACTTCAAGCAATACCGCCTCGCGGAAAAGAGTCCGGCCTCCCTCTCTCGCTTTCCTTTCTCGCTCTCTCTCTCTCTCTCTCTCTCTCTGTTCCCCCCACGTGGGACTAATCCACAGATGCCACACCTTGTTTGCGCGCCCCCGTCTGACTCCCCCCCCCTTCCCTACCCCCAAGTGTCCGGATTCTTTGGCGATGCTTACCTGTCCGGATCGTACATCCCGATTCGAGGTCTCCCCCTCACGCCCACCGGCTGTCCCCTGACACGGGACTTCTTCTTCGATGGCAGCCGGTCGGTCCGGTACTTGGAGATGTCCGGCGTATGTGCCGCTGTCTTCTTTCCCTCCCTTCACCCTCTCCATGAGATCTCCCACCCTCCTGGCTGTCTTGCTAACACACAACCCTCGTTCGGATGGAGCAGTACTTCTCACGCGAGTTTGTGAACTGCACGGTGGCCTCTTTCGATGAAAATCGACAGAAGGAGCTCCTGTCCCTCCGGTATGCCCTCGCTCCCCTTCCCCCCTCCCCCCCCCCCCTCTCCCCGCCCATCGCGTCTTGACATGCATCCCTTTTTACGTCTCGCTGCCCATCGGCTGGACCAATGCCCCGTCCCCCTGCAGTCCGGTCTTTAATTACGCCCATGTCATGTCGAATCTGGAGAAAATCAACTTCACCGAGCTCGATGCCCAGCGCTTCCTCTACGACACGGGGTACTTTGACCCGGCGCGTCGGCGAATTGTTTCCCTCGTTGGGGCAAACATTACCTTCGGGCAAATCACCACCGAAAAACTCCTGGCTTTCGTGGTCCACGTGTTGGACAAACTGGCCAACAATGTACCTCCTCCCCTGCCCTTGCCTACACCGGTCGCTAACCCGCCTGCTTGCCTCTGGATTTCCCCCCTCACGACCTCCCTTTCTCCTTCTTCCGTCGACTCTGCCCTTTTGCATTTCCATCTCACCTCGTTCTCTCTTCCTCTCTTTCTCTCTACCCCGCCCTCTCTCATCTGTCAAGCCATTTGTCATTGTTTATTTTGAGACAAATTGCTCGGCAGAAAACCGGCCCTCCTACGAATTCATCCGCACGATGTACCGCTTCCTGCCTCCGAAGTGCGTGCCCCCCTCCCGCGCCCGGCGGCCTTGCCCTTTGCCCTGTCCTTGTCTCGGCTGACACAGATCCCCCTCTCTGCCGGTCGAAAAAAAACAACAGATACCGGCGAAATCTCGAATTCTTTTACGTCATTCACCCCTCCTGGTGGACGACTTTTGCCTCGACGCTGACGGGCACCATCTTTGCCGGGGGCATTTCCTCCAAGGTGGTCCCCTTGAAGATGGGCCTGCGCGAGTTGCAGCCTCTCCTCGGCGTGTCGGATCCGATTGTGTGGGGCCGGATCGTGCCCAAATTCGTGGCACTGTACGTCATGCCTCTCTGTCCCTGTCGTCCTCGCTGGACCCCCCTCGGTCTTTGCTTGGCACCTTGCCCCCTTCCGAACCCCACGCCCGCGCTGACCCCATCCATCGTGCAGTCACGACTTCACCCTCCACGGAGCCAACAACCTAGACCGGGCGCCTTATCAGCCCTCAAGGCGCTGAAGCTTCCCACCCCGCCAGGCTCGGAGCAGCATGCTCCCTCTGGCGAATATAGAGATCTAGACCAGCGAGACACAAACATCCGCCTATGCGCCGGGCAATGGACCATGCGCGCCCAAATTGGTGTATTAGTTCGAATTAAGTCCCACCGTCATGGGATCACAGGCCGCTGAGGAAGTCCTGCAAAGACTGACCGCCGGCCCCGCCGGCCCCGGTGACCTCCGTACTCTTGGCCCTGTTGAGAAGCTGCTTCAGTGCCTGCTTATGGGACTGGCGCGGAGGGTGACCCGGCGCAGCATGACCCGGTGCGGCTTGGCTCCGCTGGGCTGACTGCGAAGGCGGCCGCAGACCCGGCTGGGAGGGGTTCCGCTGGGTCGGCTGGGAGGGGTTCCGCGGGGTCGACTGGCGGGGCAGGCCTGGCGGCTGGGACGCCCGAAAGGCGAAGCGCTCGGATCCGGCGCGGTCCGCGCCGGCGGCAGCGGGACTGGGCCGTGTGGAGGGCAACCGCGAGGCGGCAGTCTCCAAAGTCAGGGCTTTTGCACGGATGGCTGCCCGGAAGGCAGCCTTAGTATCAACCGTCTCGGCAACCGGGGTGGCCTGGGGGAGGTATGTCCCCTCGCTTTTCAGCTGGCGCTTGGACTCACGCTGGGCGCGTGACATGTTGGATGCATGGCGGCTCAGTCGAGCCGTGTGTTGAGCAAGATTGCCAATCAGGTTATCCGAGGAGGGGCTTGTGGGCCCGCGTGCGCGGGAGGCGGCAGGCTCGGGCTTGGCGGTGTTGCCAGCAGCCGGGGCCCGCCGCGATCCGGGCAAGGCGCGAATGCTGCTGCACCTCTCGCACGGAGCGGCCTACAGCCATGGCATCAGAGTCAGTCCGACCGAGAGGGAGAGAGAGAGATAGATAGATAGATAGGCCCAGACTCGGCATGGGAGCGTCTCAGCATGGGGCGGCGGGCATGATGGCATGGAGGTGGAGGCGTCTAAATGTATGGTGGCACGAACAATAACAGCATCCCAAGATCGCGGCTCCCCGCCGAGGGAGATGCCTCGACGCCAAATGTGCGTGCTCGGCAGCCCAGCCCGGCGGGCGCGCCACTTCTGAACCCGGGGGCGTGTCGGGCCGGGACCAGGCATTGGCGGCGCAGCCAGCGGCGCAGCCGGCCATGCACACGTCCCACAGACACCATTGAGGTCCACGTGTGTCAGGGGGATTTGATTGAGAGCGGCGATCTCCTCAATGGATTCCCTGCCATTGTTATGTGACAGGCGCCGGCATAGGAGCAAGAGGAGGGTCAGCACCGGCGCATGTGGGTGTTGGGCTGCGCATGGCACTGGCGTACAGATAGGCACTGGCGGCATTGCAAAGACCCCCGGAGGGGGTCCGCTCGCCGGGTATTGAGGGCCCGGCCAGGATTTCAGCCGCCCGGCGTAGAAAGACCACGCGCTCTTTGATGGGAGCCGGCACCGACACAGCGGCCGGTGTGGCACTGCTTGAGGCAGACATCGCGGCGGGTGGGGGCGGCGGGGGGAAAAAAAAGCGGCCAAGCAAAGTGGAGAAACTTGGGCAAGGGGAAGTGGATCGGTGAAGAGGGGCAAGAGCAGTGACACAAAAGGAGGAGCGGGTAAGAACAGGAGCGGTTGGGAATGCTGCGGAGTGGCTGGCAAGAGAGGGCCATCACGGACGCTGCTCGAAGAAATATTACGGGCGGACCACACCAGGGGAGAAGGTTCACAAGGGCCAGACGATCCTGGCCTCGATCTCCCGCCCCCCGGGTCCATGGGGGATCTCGCACAGACACACATGTGCATAGATCCCCCGGACGCATGTTGCGCCCTCCCCCCCCCCCCTCCAGTGTGTCGAACATGAGAAGGGCCGAGGTGCCGGCGCATGGCACGTGCTCATGTGGGTCATTGGTCTATTGGCACATGTTCGAAATTACTCCTCAATCTTGACCAACATGCAACCCAGGACGCCTGGCGAGGTGCCGGTGCGCCGCGGCCGCAAGACCAGCTCCAGGGTAGACTGGGTGGATGGCCGGAAGATGCCGAGACTCATGGAGTGCTGGATGGTCCGGGGAGATGTGCGGGAGGGGGGGGGGGGGGGGGGCGGCAGTCGGAGGGTCGTCAGAGGAAGGCCCAAGGGGGGGCGCGATGGCATTGACAAGCGTCAGCCCCCGGAGGACCATAGTGGCGGCAGGGGGGAGGGAGAAAGGGGATTAGGCGTACGGCGTGTGTGGCAGTTGACATGACAACTCTACCGAACGTGTGGTAGTTGTGCTCGCGATCCTCGCTGGATGAAAAGGCGGGGAGCTGATCCTCTGCCTGCCAGCGATAGAGCACATCCCCCTCTCGAAGGCCCTGGATATTTGTGCGTGCGCGCGCGCGCGCGCGTGCGAGCCGCAGCGACGAGGACAAAACCGACAGAGACAAGGACAGCGGGGACAATGATCAGAAGGGGGGGGGGAGGGCAGATGCAGGCACAAGCTGAGCGCGAGTCGACTTGACGCACCGCCTCGTGGGCCGGCGAGTGCGGGATCACCACGTTGACCGTGGCAAAGGCGCCATCGAGCACATCGGTCGGCGCAGTGGCTGGAAGACCGCCCACCGGGGCACTGAGACGCTGGCCGACGTTGGATGCCGAGCCACCGGCCGGCGATGAAGAGCTCGGGCGTTGGGCGCCAGCAGTACTGCCGGGTGTGCTTCCCGCGGTGGAAGACCAGCCGGCCAGGTCGCCGCGCTCTTCAGCCGGCCGGGAGAAGGCCGCCTCCACAGCCTGCTGGGCCTGGTGCGTGAGCTGATGCAGGTCATTGTGGAGCACTG